AGATAGATAGATAGATAGATAGATAGATAGATAGATAGATAGATAGATAGATAGATAGATAGATAGATAGATAGATTAGAGTGCATCAAATGCAATAATGCAGGGTAAAATGTCCATCAACAAATCTAATCAGCCCATTCAAAAATAGCAAACACCATTTGCTCAGACATATCCAGTGAACCTTTAGTGCAAACTAATGAGCCACCGCTCCCCAGCTAATGCTCGCTGATGCCAACTGTCACCTTTTAACAATCAAATTACTTTGCTGTCTGTTGCTTGGCAGCTTGGTTGGCTTTTCTCTCTAAGTAAACCTTGAGACTGCATTCACCCCTACTCAATTGGATTTTTGTCCTGATGCTTTTTTCTGAAAGGGTTTAAAATAGTTATTGTTGTTAAAAGTGATTTTGTTTGTTTGTTTGCTTGTTTGTATTTTTTTTAACTGAATTTCATCTCTTTTCGCCAAATGCCCTATTGCTACACATAATAGACACTTGCAGATCCCACCCCCACTCTGTGTGTTGATGGCAGCAATGTTCCTTACCTGAATGTATTTATGTCATTGTCAATGTAAACTTTGGTTATATAGATGATAAGACAGTACTTCATCAGATGTGGACATGGGTTTCCCCACTAAAAATCTATTATTTTAATGAGTGTTCCACAACAAAAGAATATTAAAAAATATACCCTTGCCAACCATAAAGATACCTTCATGACGTACCAGTGTGAAAGTGTGAATAGTATGAGTCATTTCAAGTATTCTCTTGTAAACTGTAAATTATGCTGGTAAGCTATGAGTGTGCAAAAGCTGCTAACATTTCCACTTTATTTATCTGTGACTAAGTCAATGAAGAAAAAAAGACACTGAACTGTGGCTTTATATGTTCATTTCATTTACTGAACAACCATGCATGTGCATGCAGAGTAATGGGTGGAAAACCAGGTCTTATGTATTTAAGCCAATTTCAAAAATTCCATGTTTTGGTTGTTGTTTTTTGCTATTGTTAAATTTTTAAAAAATGACAATTTCTGTGCCATTTCTCACAACTATGTACTTCAACATGTTGTACATTATAAAATAACAGCCTGAAATGCGGTGAAGTGAACTATGGTAAGAATCATTGGATGATGTTGTTTGTTCATAGAATCAATACATTAGAACTGACAGTAATATTAATTTGTGTTTAAGAAGACACACACACACACACACACACATTTGACCATAGTTTTCAGACCCTAAGGCGCACCGAGTTATAAGGCGCATTAAGCGAAACAAAACAGTCAGATAAGTCAAACTTTACTCAACTTATTCATCTTGTTTCCTCCTCTTCCGTACCATTAATTCATTAATCTTGAATTCTCTCGCAGCTGCTCTATTCCCATGTTGTTGCAGTATATTAATGACTAACCTCGTATTGTGGATGGATTTTCTCAGTTGTTCTCCTGAAGTTTGGTCCGTTTACAGCATCCTCCCATGAGATTGCATTTTTCCATAACCATCGGGAACCCTCACGTTAACTTTTATTGAGTGGAAAAAAGTTAGCGTTCATCTTCCAGTTTCACTGTTTATGTTATGCTAACATAGCTGTGTCGCTATTGATCACGTAGCACATCATTATATACCAGTTAACCCAACTTCAGTAACCCTAAAAAAGTCACTGCTGTTTAGTTTTCTGTATTCATTTATGTTGGAAGTGATAGTAGAGCTGTACGTTTTAATTTTTTCAGAAATCTCTCAGTCAGAACAAGGCATATCATGTTTAGGTGGAAACTAGCGAGCTAACTTCCTGCTAACTTCTAACTCCGTTAAATTTAAAAAAATCTGTTTTCATGAAGGCCTGGATGTTAAACGTAATTGTTACACATGGTAAAGCAGCTACACTAATCATTTTATTAAAGATGAAAGAATTTAACTCTCAGTGATGCTGCACTGTTCGTTTGACTTTGGGACCTGAAAAGGACGTGTACCACATAAAATTGGTTCGAAGTCAATAAGCACAACCAGAATTCATACATAAGGTGTACCAGTTTATAAGACACAGTATCAATTTTTGAGAAAATTAAAGGATTTTAAGAGCGCCTTACAGTGCGGAAAATATGGTAAAAGTGTGTATTTTTTAGTAAGTATAGTTAGTCATTAAAAAATTTGCATTTTTTGTATGACTATTTTTATACTTACTGCAAAAGACTCCTGTGAAAAACTAAGTATATCCCATGATTCAATATCTTGCAGAACCTCATTTGCAGCAACTTGAAGTGAAGTTTAATAAATGTCTTAAATTTGCATGTGCTTTCTCCTGTCCCTTTTTCACATGATCGTACACGCTTGGTGTTTTCTTAGGTACACATACAACAAGCTCATGGGCACCAGTCCTAGACCTCTGCCATGTACTCTACCTTTACACAAATTTCTACTTTTTGTCTTTTCATCCACTGACACTGCTACTAGAGTGTTCTTTTGTGAATACTTTTGCTAATTGACATCACGTATTGTTTTCTTTCGTAAGTTCTCTGTATGTGACCAAGTTGTTTTTCTGTGTCTCAGTGAACAAAGCTTTGTGTATTGATCTTCAGTTGGTGTGGTCATTTTTGTTGTGCGTCACTGTGGTTGGACATAATTAATCCAGTTTCTGCAAAACATTTTAGCATGCCGTGTAGTGACACTTGGGAAACTTTCAGTCTAGCCATGATGTGATTTAGAGAAAGTCCCTTTTCCTTCAGAATGACAATTGGACACTTGAGACTTTCACTGAGTTCTAATGTTTCTCCATTACCGCACTGCCACTTAGACTTTGCTGTTGTTTCCTCTTTTACTTATACATCTCTTACGCCATGTATCCACAGTTGTTGACTTGCTGATTTGGGTTATTTTTCTCATCACTGTTTCGTAACATCCGTGTCACATTAGTTAATCAGTAGATTAGACAAACAGATAAATTGTAGTTAAATAATTTACAGTTCCTCTTTTCGGTCTTTCTGTTTCATGAGGCACAGGTAATTCTAAGCTCAATGCACATCCTAATTGGCTACAACATAGTGCACATAGTGTTAGTGCACTAAAAACCGTTACTGGGCTTTGCTAAATTATACAGCTACAGTTAACTTATACATCACCGCTGCTCTGTTGCGTTGCTCTGCTGCACTGTTTAGACTGGACAAAAGCCACAGAGCATGCGTTTAAGATTATTAAACATGGATTTTGCCCTTCTGTCATCCTCAAATCTTCCTAAGCAATTACGCAACATGGTCGATGCTTGAATGTGTGGGTTGGGGTAGTGCTACCCCAGTGTTTTAATGCTGACAACAAGATTAATCTGTTAGCCTTTATTTGCAGAAAACTGGCACCCACAGAGAGTAACTGTGACTTTAGGAAATGGAAGCTGTTAGCTATCGTGCTGGCTTTGGAAGATTGAAAGCACTGGAGGGTGCAAGGCAACCTTTTTTGGTCTGAGGAGTCTGGAATATATCTACTGTGTCAAGAGACCCAGCTCCCAGGCAGCCAAGTGGACATTATTTATGTGACTGTATTAAGCCAGAGAAACTCTCTTGTGCACACTCACATGTGACTAACCCTACAACTGCCTCCTGGTGTCAAAGAAGAATTCTTTCCACCTCTCACTTTTCACAGCACGACTTTCATCTTCCTCATCTATGTAGTCATCTGTTATGTTTTGTTTTTGTAAATCATTTACCGTAGGCCGCAGTCACACAGGGTAAAGAGAAGTTGTAGAGTAATTCTGATTCTAACTGTGTAGTCCCCAACCAGCTGGTCACCTTGTTAAACTGGTTGCCAAGAAGGAAGTGCAGTAAATCCTTCTTGTGATTGCTTTTGTTGTTAGCAGCACATAGTTTGCATGGAAGAGGCCAACTTATCTGCAAGCTCTTGCCAGCTTCTCTCTGAACATTAGTGAAACTGAAATGTGTGGTTTAAACTGTAAAACGAGGTTGTTCGCCTCAACATTTAAAAAAAGAAAAATGCTATTGTTTCACTACTGCTCAGTGAGAAGTTGACGTATCTTCCATGTAATTACAGGGATTTTATGGCAACCGAAACCAAACAATTTCAAAGACTTTTTTGTTGCAGTATCCTGTACCTCTTTGCGATTAATTTTATCTAGTGACAACCATTAGCAACCATTTGCCAACAGGTCAGGAAATTCACATTTTTCCATTGCAACTGTGGTAACACACCGTTTCTAGGCCTGTGTGACTGGGAACATATGTATGTAGGATCTTTTAACTGCTTTTATTCTGTTAATTGTGTCTTATTAACCAGTGTCAGTCTGCTGTGTATACAATGTGTGACCAAAAAGTTCTTCGAATGAGCCCTTAAAGATCATCTTCAGTGGTATGCCCAGACAGCTTCTGGCATGGCTGTGTTTTCAGATTCTTCCACTCAACTTCCAAACTTTTCCTTGTTCCTTGTGTATAAAATGATGCCGGAGTTGTACACTGTTATGTATAACTAGCCTTTGTGGGCATTTTTGCCTCTTCTCTTGTGTAAATTGCTCCTCTGACTAATACTCATGTAAGATGTTTTTGCTTGCATGTAAAAGTTTGGATGCTTGGCTTTTATCTGATTTCCTGTATGATCTCTGGCTGTGCTTCAATTTTTCGGACCCTTGTTGTTACAGTTAAGATATGGACAATGGCTTCACACAAATATACATGAACAAGTCTCTGATGAGACAAACCCTCCTAAGTGTCATTCAATTTAATATGCTTCAGTGGATGTGATGCAGCACAAGTAAATCGCAAACTCTTTATTGTACAATTAATAACTTTTTTCTTTAAGGTCCACTCTTTAATAAGCAGAAATAGTTTTTAAAAAATAAAACAAAAACACAAAGACAGTACACTGTAAAAAAAAAAAAAAAGAGTTTCATTATGAGAGCTTCTTTCTTGTGAAATACAAAACATAACTAGCAGGACGTCTGCTGCGTTTCAGTAGAAATATTAATTATTAATCAGCTCATTAGGGTAAAAGGAAATTAAAAACTTCATTCTATCGAGTGCTCCGTTATATATGTCCAAAGACTCCAAATGCTTAAAATAAGATCTAAGTATAGCTTGTTGGTATAGTCCATTAAGACCAAGCCTGCATTACAATGCTATGAGTCATAACAGCTAATCAATGGAGTCGCATTGATTTCCCTATGAGTCTGGCTACAACCTGAGTTAGCTCATTAAAAGCTGAGTCTGGAGAAAATGGATCTTTAAGATGTTGGAGCTAATGCCACAAGATGATTGACTGCAACATTAATTTCTTTAAACCTGATTCGTTTACTAACGCTTCTTCAAAATGCTGCAAGCTTTAAAACTGTGGTGAAAAGAACATGGGTTTTTCTTTCTTTTCCATCTGAAAAGAAGTTAATGGGGCAGCTTCAGCATCACCAGTTGTGACTTCCATTCAAAAATAGATACATGCTTTCTTTTTTTGCCAACAGAGCTTTTCAAGCATCTAAACATGATGTATCTGAGGGTTTAAAAATAAAGTAAGGTTTAGAAACCAGAACATTTCTGTACTTCAGAGGAAAAAAGCCTGGCTTTATCTTTATCCTTTTATTTTAAAAAAACAAAACACTTTGCTAGACCCAAAGCAGCAATATCTAAAGGAGTCATTCTGTATTCATTTATTATTCTCTGACATTATTGTGGAAGAATTTTGGTGAACTCTTCTCTATAAAATTGACTAAGTTGATTGAGGTTTGCGGCCATTCTTTTATGCACAGCTATTTGTGTTCCTGTCGCAGCATTTCAGTTGACTTGAGGTCTGGACACTGGGCTATTGTAACACTTGTGTCCTTCCCCTTTTTGGCCAATTTGTCATAGGTTAACTGAGACCTGTAGAGTCTGAAATGTTGCTCTTGGGGTTTTTGTAGTTTCTATGAGCATAGCTCCATGGTAGGGTGAATTTGATGGGAAGATCATGGCATCATATGAACAGATACCAGAATTCTCCAGAGTAGCAAACCTCCAAAACTGCTTCTTATGGAAGGATATACATGATTGTACAATTCAGGAAATCAGCAGTATAGACCTTTAATTAAACAAAACTGGTTTTATTCAGGGTTTATACTATGCAGTCAATGTTCATCTTAGATTGTAATGATATTTACTAAAAAAAACCCTCTGCTGACACATGAGGAAGCTGCTGTATAAATTATGAACCAAGTAACAGACATAATGTTGATTCAAACGCTTCCTCTTTCAGTCTTTTTGCTGTCTTTCTTTCACTTTATTATTCTTTTTCTCCATTTCTGTCTCACACCCCTGACACACACTTATATACATCCATCATTATTGCCTTCCTTTTCAACTTGACACTTGTGAAGCACACAGCTATGTTGCATTTATAATTATCTATATGTTTAATGGCGAAGACTAAGAGACTGGGTGTATGGGTTAATTGTTGCATACTGTCTGCGTGAAAAAAACTCTGAGCACCTGGACATAATACTGATTTATTTCTTGTTAAATATGTCAGACACTGGGCACACAAAGTTATGCTAACAAAGGCTTTGTATGGCATGCATTGGAGGTAATGCATATTTAAATATATCAGGGTTGCTCAGTCACGCTATGATTGCATAGATTGGACAAAAAAAAATACAATGGCTCTTCAGTTGCGGCAACAGTGTCTAACAACAAAACCAGAAGTGGCTTACACTGAAGAACTCGTGGGAGAGCAGAACCCGAGGCTAATATCACATTAACCAGGACTGAGATGCATACATTATTCAGCTCCTTACACTGTGCACGATATGACATACAAATGTAACAACAAAGATTGCCTTTTATACATACACAAAATAACATACACAAGTGGGATGGAAATAATCCCGTTACTTAACTCATGAGAGGAAGACTTTACTTGAAAAAGCTGCCATGCAAAATCCTATAATATCTCAATACACACTCACACACATACAATTGTACACATGTCTATCACATATAGCTTATTATTCATATTAAATTAGTAGTGGCAGTAGGGGCAGCTTTTCCTCCTTTGTAAGCAGTTAGTGCACAGTCTTCTTGTTCTGTCCGTCTGCCGCATCTCCAGGTTAGTTTCATCTGCTCCCAGACTCCATTACTTACCAACACATACAGCACTGGGTCCACCACAGCATTCAAACTGGACAGTGCAAGCGTACAGGAGAAGAAGAAGTGCATTTGTTCTTCAAACCTGCAGTAACTCCCATTGTGACTCTTATCAAAATTGTTATTATAAAATACTAGTGAGCGTATGAGCAAAAGAATATGATATGGAGCAAAGCAAACTGAGAAGATCCCAATGACTCCAAAGGAGAGAAGACGGACCTTCCTCTTAACCTGGGCGCTCAGGCCGGGACTTCGGCCCACAGTGGCTAACACCCTCCAGTAGCTCACTGCCAGCACTAGCAGGGGTAGCAGGAAGCCCAAGCCTACTCTGAGCAAGTTGAATAGAGCAATAGGCTTCTCCATGGGGTAGGTCTCATAACAACGGTCATTATTGTTGTTCTCATCATGGGCGTCTGTGAGATTATCATAGACCAGCATTATGATGTGTATCACCACCACTACCACATAAACTACGATACACTGCATCCAGGCGTAGCAAGAAGTTCGGTGTGTCTTGAAGCGGAGTGGGTAGCTGACCACCAGACAGCGGTCTACAGAGATACAGCAAAGCAGGTAGATGCTGATATACATATTAGAGTAGTAGACAAAGCCAGCTACACTGCAGGACCCAGAACCTAGCATCCAGCGGTGGTTAAACCGGTAATAATTTATCCAAAGGGGCATAGTGATGATGAAAAGGAAGTCAGAGATAGACAGGTTGAGCAGGAAGATTCCCAGGACATTTTTTTGCCTCACTTGTTGAATGATGGGGCCCAGGGTCAGTACATTGAAGATCAAACCAAAAACAAAGGCCAGTATGTAAACAGACATCAGCAAGTCACTGACAACACTCTCTCCAATGTTAACGCATGTTGCGTTGTTGCCTGTTTCTGGTTTAAAAGTGGAGTTCATGGTTCCTTTAGTTAGCTGTAACTCCCCTGGTTAAAGAAAATCACCTGCAAGACAAAAATATATCATTAAATCCCTGAAATTAAAAGAAATACAGTAACACGACTTCACCGTAATACTTTAAAAACATATAATATAGCTTAGATATTTTGTATCCCCTATTCTATTTCATGGTTGACTGAGCTCAAGAGATAAAAAAAATAATTTGGTTGTCCTGATGTTTTTCAATGTGAGATAGTTTGATTCTGCACACTATATGGTGTTCAGGCATAGAGTCGATGGGAGTCCTCAGCTTCCTGGTATGGGTTTAGTCATGCTGCTTGATGATAACAGTTTCCACCCACGGTTTTAATAGAAAGTGAAATTGCCAAAAGTCCCTGCCTCAGCTGCACTGTATGGAGAACACATGTCATAAGGTAAGCTGTCGTTGTTGTGGAAACAGACAGCATTAAGGAACTGATACCTTTTAGATTAACTTGATGTAGAACCTTCTGCACTCGATCACCTGAGCACTCGATCAACATTACTTGTTGTTAATGCTACTTTTTATTAAATTATCTATAAATTGCTGCATTTATTCTCCTGCGTGGTCTAAGTTGCAGGCGAGGATCGCACAGAATGTACAGGCAAACTGATTATTTGCATTTTACAGTAATCACAGATTACAGGTTACTTTTTGTTTCTCAGCACAATAAGAGCCTTGCAGCCTCCCACAGAATTGCATTCTGGGGGACAAAAAAGTTGGCAGTCATATAGTGAGTTGGACCAGTTATTTCCAATTTAAATGTGACGTTACAAACAGATGCAGATGTGACGAAGGTAGTTGTTTACTGCAGCTTCAAGAATGAGTAATGTGAAACTCATGCACTCTATAAATGAATCAATTAATTCTCTCCCTGATTTGAACCATCACACCTGGTCCATCACAGAGCTCTGAGTGTAATTCACACCAGATACACCTTAAAGATTAGCGTAACCCAGCAGAGACAAGAATTTCAAAATGAATTTAATAATAATCCAGTAATACTTTCTGTTTCAAAAAGATAAAAGACAAAGAGCAGGTAAAATCCGCTGTGAGACTGATTTTGTTATTTTGACATGAACCTTTCCTCTTTGAAGAAGTCTTCTTTTCCATGAGAATAAAGCTAGCAGTGCAGTTTCAGAGAGGATACGAAACTATTCGACTGAACTTGGACATTTAAAAGGTGAGAGATTTGTGGTATAACGACAAGGTCAGTGGGCATAACCGAAGTATTTATTCATATTTACACCATCAGTACAATCTTATACACCCATTCATTGTGACGATTAAGGGGTTAATGTTTAGTTTGTGTTCCACTGGAAAAAAAATCCACATTAATTATTTTACCAGGTAATGGGAACCAATGGTTAACACACTCTTCTTAATGTAGACCACAAGACTAAAATATTTTTGTACAGATATTTTATTCTTTCCATTTGCTGTATAAAATTTAAGCATTAGGAGATCAAACTTTGCTCGTTATTTCTGTGGCTTTTGCTGATATTTGTTTCCTCTCTTTGTTTTGTTCCCTCTCTCTCTTCCAGGCTTGACCCTGGTGTGTTTATAGGCTCAGGAAGCATCTAATGCTATTAACGTCCAGAAAACTCAATAATAGAGAAGCCATTTGGAGACAGATCGTCTTCAGAGAACGATAATGTGTATGTGCACATGTGCCTGTGTGCAGGTTTGTTTGAAATGGGTTTGATTTAATGGATTATTCATAAAATTTAAAAAAAAAAATGGGAGACTTATCATGACTGCATTATAGGAAAGTTTTCCTCATAAATCAAAACTTTTCTAAAATATTTCAGTTGTTAGTCACCACTTAGGATACTATGACTAATGACAAACAGGTATTCCCCTATTACAAAGATAGAGTTTACCTCTAATGCCTGTAATGGTTCATTTGTCCTGTTCAGGTCCTTCTTAAAAACAATATTTTTTTTCTTTTTTCCTCTTGCATACATCTTTTTTGTTCTTTTGCTGTCTCTATCAGTACATTTCAAATCCAAACAAACGACTACTTTGCACAGCTGGCCAGGGCTTGATTCACTCATTTTTTCCATCTGAGCCAACTATGTGTTTGTTAGCATTATGTGCTGAAGTAAATCTGGTTGTCATTATGAATTGTTAAGAGAGCAGCATTTTAGCCTTATCTCTAAAGAGGGGGGATGTGGTGATTGCCAGATGCCCCCCTTTTAAAACAAAAAGAAGAAATATGCGTTTTAACTTGCCTCCCTCATATCAAAGTGGTGTTTCAAAGGTAAAGCAGTCCACAGTTTCTTCTTCCATAGCAGTTTTCTGTTGCCCTCTCCAGCGTGCTGTGGTGACCACCGCTGGGAGAATCACAGAAAACATTCAACCCTCCAGAGAATCAACATTTCAAACCTAATTATTTTTGCAGTGGTTACTCACATCACCTCAAGCATTCCATCTTTCCCTTGACAACAGTCCACTGGGTACAAAAAGAAACCCAGCATATGAAGTGTGGTTTCAAAATAAATGAATACCTTCACTACATTTAAGAACTTGGCAAACATAATAAAAGTTACCTTTGAACTTGTCCTTTTCTAGGGCAGTTTATAAAAAGTTTTACATAAATTCCCTCATCTGGTTTCCAGAACTCCAGTCAGTAATGAATGACCTCACCTGTTGTTTGTTGATAGAAAGTTGTATGTTGTAGAAAGCTGTCCAGTGGGTGAAGAGTGTTAGACGCATTCCAGACCTGCTTCAGGTTCAGCAGAGTTCAGTCCAGGAAGATCAGAAAAAAAGCTTCAGAAGAGACTTTTCAGAGCTGCTGACATGCAGCCAAGCCACTGCAGTTCCTCATAATCTCAAATGAACCAGATCATTAACAGCCAGTTCAATAGCTGCAGCTGCAGAAGAGGTTGTTTTTCTCTGTACTGTGTAGTTTGCTCTCGTTGCTAGTTCCCGTTGACAGCCGCAGCTGAAATGTCAGTAAGAAGTGTGGAAGGGCGAAGTACAGAAAGGGGAAGACACACGTAGGAGGAGGGAGGTTTGCTTCTGCACACGTGCGTGCAGGAAGTGTTCAGGGCTGGGCAAAAATTAAACGGTTATAGAAAAGATATGAATCATGCGTTAATGCTCTTATGAGACCAGAAAAAAGTCCCCTCCCCCTCCTCTCCGATTTAAGGGAAATTTATAACTTATGGGTCGGGAGCTGCATAGCTCCTGTCTTCCCCTTTTACATCACAGTGAGTGTTTAAATAGCATCATTGTAGTTGTAGTTCTTAATGAGTGGGTCATTCACTCCTTTTTTTGGTCTAAATGTCTTTTTCAGTTTGGCTGATCACTTTCAGTCTGGTTCAGTACGAGAAAACCAAAATGTGTCAATCACGTCACTGTAAAACACGAAGAAGATAAAGAACGTTGCTCTGTTTCAGATGATGTGAACACTGGGTATCAGCACCGTGTAGGTCTCAGTCGAGGCTGTTCACATGTTTATAAATGGAGTCTGTGACGAAACCTTGAGGTTGCTCTGGTTATGCGTTGAGTGACCATCAGTGTACAGATGTGAATGTTGACGGCAAGAACACATTCCTTACATGACGTTAAGAAAAAGGAAAGGAAAGTAGACGATTATTGAAACGGAAACGATAAATGTATGGAAATAAAATACTCAAAAGGGGAATTTCCAGATACTCTGATTTTCCACCTGAAGCATTGTTTCTTCTTTCCTCTGTAATGCTTTGATGTCACACACATGTTCAATAAGTTCAGCTTTTTGTCACTGCATTTCAGCAGAATATGAGTAAGAATGAGTAATTTTCTTTTTATTGGTATTCTTTCTTTTAATTTTTTTCTTCTCTAATAAACAAATGATTAAATAACATTACATGAATGTGTACATTTTCCTGTTGAATTCAGGCTTTTATTGTCTGTCATTTCTAACAGATCCAGCTTTTTGTCTGTAATGTAGTCTTACAGAGCTTACATCACTTAGCAACCACATTAATTGTGTCTAAATACTATTTAAGGCCATGTTGGTGATGTATTATTTTACCTACCTATGCTACCAACCTATTTTTTCTTAAACTCAAATACAGAACAAGTTTATCTGTCACTTCTGCTGTGGCTTTTACACTTTTTTAACGACTACCTCAAGGTGCCAATAATGTGATGCCAAAAAGTTTAAGTGCTGAGAATATTTTTTAAAAGTTGTGCATGTGGATATTAAATTTGTCAACTTCCCTTTTTCATTCCTTAGTATGACACTGATAAATGGAAAATTCTTTGCTATTTTGGCAAAAGAGAACAAGACAAGGCAGTGGGCATATGTTTGGTGCATTTCAGTTTCTTGTAACTGTTTCCTCGCATGATAGTGTGCTTCACCTCCATCACCTTAAAATAAATCATTTTGCTGGTTTACCTGCCTGTTTTTTGGTAACAAGCATCCAACTTGCGGTCACATGAAGCAGAGTCAGAGGGCACTAATGAGACAGAGCAGTAGGCATACAGTGAATTTTGCCATCATAAATTTTCCATAAAAACTATTTAAAAGATTATTTATGGAAATGTCATTTTAGAAAAACAGTCTTGTGTAATGTAATATAAATACAGATATTTCCATTTTATGATAATGGTAGGATTGCAAGTATTTCACACCTCCCAGTGGTTTTTAAGCTTAGGGTTTAGCTTTTGTTGCATCACACAGTGGTGTGATATAGAAAGAGATTTAGTACCTTTTTGGTCATGCATCTACATGACAACCGGAAATGCTCTGCAATTTTCTGTAATTTTGCAAATTGCTCTACACAGTTGATCTATTGCCTTTCAAAATGCATTACGCCTAAGTGCAGGGGCAAACTCAGCAGCTGGTATAGCCGTTTAATGTACTTGATGGCCAAGCTGGAGGTCATCGGTTGTGCAGTCATACCAAGTGGAGGAAAGTGCAATCAGAATTTGTGATCATGTTACACAATCACAAACAAAACATTTCCAGAGCTAATGATGGTTTGTGGGCTTTGTGTTCAGTGTTTACACAGATCGTTATCTCAAGAAGCATGAAATAACAAGAAAGTGGAAATGACTGAAAACTCTGGAGTTCAGTTCTTATTTTGATTGGGTAGCATTATCTCGAAATTCCGCATGCGTGCACTACTTTCTTTTGTATTTAATGAAAAGCTGATGTGTTTTCCAGATGAGGTGCAGCTATAAACTGAGAGTGCAAATTGCAATTGTTCTAGGAGTAGTTGCAGTTCAAATAAGATGACACTCTCTGAGTTATGAACACTCCTGGTAACCTTTTGAGCACACGGCCAATTGCATTTTGTGAAAAAACAGCACTTTCTCCCACAGACTTCATTAATACAGATAACTTCTGAACAAGCCTGAGAGAAAATGGAATTGCACTCACTGGCTAAAATCAATTGGCATGCATGTGCATGCACCCCAAGCAGAGCTGCAGAACAAAACAGACTCCACCAAAGCTGACAAGAAATGAGCACTGGGAGGTCTCAGAGGTTTAGATGACAAAACGTGCTATGGAAATAAGTAATCAGTAGCTCTTTCCGTATGGAAGCGACACTAATATAATACAAGTTCAAAGATCACATTACACTTCTGAGTACTTTATTAAAGTATCAAGTTGCGATTATTGTTAATATATTTCTTAGTTTAAAAAAAACAAAATCAAAAAGAACTATGTGGTGAGGCGTGGTCGGCGGTGCCAGGCGGAAGCACCGGCACGGCATCCGCAATCACGCCCACCGTATTTAAAAACACGGGGAAGTAGGGGTAGAGAAGAGTTGTGGTGTGATGAGTGTGTATTTAATGATGGCTTCTTTATTACGCCACTCTCTGGACCCTCCGCGTCTCTATCGCACCACAAACTAATTCTCAAGAAAACTGTCTGTGGTAAAGACAAAAGAGCACACTAATGAGAACAAGATTACACGTTAATTCACAACCAAAACATGGACAGACAATTTTGTGTTATATTAATCTACAGCAGAAAAAAAAATCCCTCCTGAATGTACTGTTTACAACAGTCACATACCCTGATTGAGCTTATTAGGTACATTTTCTAGCACTGCACTGGCCCCCCTTTTGCCTTCAAAGCCCCCATAAAAGATTTAACACGGTGCTAGAATTTTTCCTCCGAAATTCCGAGCCATACAGACATGATAGCATCAAACAATGATGTGAATCTCCTGTTCCACCGCATTCCAAAGATGCTCTGCTGGATGCAAATCTGGTGATTGTAGAGGCCATTTGAGTACAGAGAACCCATCATGAGAACCCAGTTTGAGATTATTTGAGTTTTATGACAGTATGTTATCCTGCTGGAGGCAGCCATCAGTTGGTGGGAAATATACATTCCTAAATGATACACTGTGGTCATATATGAATCAGCATGGTGGACAATAGCACTCAGGTAGTTTAAAAAAATGTGAATTTGGTACTGAGGGACCTAAAGTGAGCAAAGAAAATATCCTCACCACCACCAGCAATCTGACCAATTGATAAAAGGAGGGCTGGATCCATGCTTTCATGCCATTTATACCCAATTCTGACCCTACCATTTGAATGTTGCTGCAGAAAGTCTCATAAGCAGGCACATTTTCCAATCTTATATTATTCAGTTTTGGTAAGAAGTGTGAATTGTAGCATCAGTTTACTGTTCTTAGCTAATAGGAGTGGTACTCTGTGTGGTCTTCTGTTTTAAGTTTCATAAGGTGCATTTAAGGTGCATGTCAGATTCTGTTCGGCATACCTTTTCTACAACGAGCAGTCATATGAGTTACTGTATTGACAATGCTCCTGTGACGTCAACAAGCTATTTTCACGCAGAGAACTGACACTCACTGAATATGTTCTCGCTTTCAGACCAGCAACTATGTCACATTCTTTCCCATTTTTATGTTCCTTTTGACAGGTTGTCCTATGGGCCAAAATGCACTGGATTGCTGCCATCTGATTATTAACTCTGTGAAATAATAAGCCAATCAATTATTCCTCTGTGTGCGTGTAGACTGCTAAACCTAGTGCTTGCAGGTGAAAAGAACACTTTCATTTAAGAAGCACAAGGTCATTAATCTGGATGCCCGACTGCTTTTTTGCTTTCAGTGGAAACGTTGAGTGAAAACAGAAATATTTTTAAGCTGTCTTCCACCTACTCAAACAAACTAGACTGATATTGCTTGTCGCAGATAAAACTCAATAGAAATGTAATTTCTGGTGCCAGGTACATCTCTCTGGAGGTTTGGGCCTGTCTCTTTTGCTTACTAAGTGGAGGGCTCTACATGACAGTGCAAAAACAATGGGCTGGAAGATTGAAGCTGATGAGATAGAATGAAAGTTACTGACACTTGAAAGAAATAAAAGGAGGGGAGGAAAAAGGAAGAGTCTATCATCTGGCATTGTTTAAGAATGACGACGGGTGTAGGGTAGGAGCAACAAGGGTGCACTTCTACCAGTATAACTGAGTGAAGAGTACTCATTTCACAATGGAAAAAAATTCAGCGTCTTTGCCTCCATTGCCACAGGGTCCTCTTGAGTGCCACTCAGACTGTGGGGTGTTAAAAAACACCAAAAAAAACAAAAAAAAAAACACTGTCTGTGCTTTGAGAGCTGGGAGTACTTTTTTGTGTGTCTCTGGTTCCAATTCCATCATAATTCTTTAGTCCATGTTGCCTACGTCTGTACCAAAGTACCCAGCAGCATATTTGGAGGGGAAAAAATCTCCTCTTCTGTCAGCCTGTGAGTAGAAAACTAGTGGTGCAGAACAAGTCGTCCTTATTCTTTTGTTATGCTTTAAATGAAGCACGTCTTTTTCCATAGACAATCTAAGGCACAGTAATGGCCCTTGTTTTATAAATATATTTATAGGGAAAAAGCAAATAATCTGTATATGGCTGACAAATATTTTAGGACTAAATCCGTATCTGCTCAGGCCTGTGTGCAATTTCTCAGGAAGCAGGTGAAAATGAGCAGGTTCCAGTTAAGCATGCACGGACGTCACGTTAAATAAAACTTCCAAGACAAATAC